CTGCAAAGCCATGGCTGGTTTGAGAGGCTGTTGTGAGCTGAATTATTCTCCAATGTGAGAGACTTTTTTGAGTTATGTTAGCAGTCCTGCTGCGGAGAAGGGGAGATCCTTTGCCTCTACCAGCAGCAGCCCAGCTTCCCTTGAAGCCCTGAGCTTCTGAAACCAGCTCACTTTCCCTGCAATGCTGACACTATAGGTACTGTCCCCGGACCAGCAGGGATCACTGACACCTTCCCTGTGAACTGGCACTTTTTTCCCCCTTTCTATGGTTTTTCTAATGGATTTTTAGAAGTTTATAATCTCCTATCTATCCAAGCTCCAACACTTCCTAAATTTCATGAAACTTTAATTGAAAGTTCGAATTGAAGGTGCTGTGTGTAGATTATCACCCAGTGAAAACTCAGTCATCACGATGCACCCTCGAATGCTTTCTTGGGAAAGTGATGCTGGTCATTTCAGCTTCAGCTTCTCCTGGTTTGTGATGCTTACCTCTCTCTGTTGATTTCAGCTCCCTGGCTCTCCCCATCAGCCCCTTTGCACTCCTGTGCTGTCCTGTGTAGTCATTTGGTGAGGGAAAGTGTTGCTGCCCTCCTTGCCCTCCAGCACCACATATGATTTTCACGTTTTATTACTGTACTGAAGCGCTTTAATGCTGGCTTTTCTAGAAAAAAAAAAAAAAGCCTATACTGCCAAAGTGGTTTAAAAATTCAGTGCGATCACTCTCAAAACCACAATGACGTTTCTCATAGAAATGTAAAAAAATAAATCCTAAAATTTGGATAGAACAAAAAATATATCAAATTACTCTAGAAACAAGACAAAAATCTGAAAATATCACACTTGCTAATTTCAAAATGTTGTAGCATTATATTAATGCTAGTACTTTATGCCCTATGGCACAGACATAAATGCAGGCACATAGACTAACGGGGTAAAATAGAGAACCTTTTAAAGTACCAACATATATATGGTTAGTTGATATTTAAAAAAAAGGTACATATTCATTTTTATTTGAAAGGCAGAGATACAAAGAAAAAGACAGTGAAAAATATGGAGAGAGATCTTTTAACTGCTGGTTCACTCTCCAAATGCCAACAACAGCCAGGGTTAGGCCAGGCTGAAGTCAGGAACTTGGAACTCAGTCTGAATCTCCCTTATGGGTACCAGGGGCCCAAATATTTGAGTCGTCATCTGTTGCCTCCCAGGATGTACATTAGCAAGAAACTGGAATAAGAAGTGAAGCTGGGACCTAAATCTAGTATCTCAGATAGAGGATAAAGATATCCTAAACAGGGACTTAACTATTGGCACCAAACACCTACCAAAGAAAGAGTCCAAAACTATGCAATAGAGAAAGGATGGTACCTTCAACAATTGGTGCTGGGAAAACTGAATATTCACATTCCGGAGAATAAAATTGGATCCTTATAACACACACATGCCTTAAAATAGATTAAGGATTTAAATGGAAGACCTGAAACCATAAAATTCCCAGAACAAATATAGAAATACATAAAACTGCTATAGACTGATCTTGGTAATGATTTTCTTGGGTGTGACATTAAACTACAGGGAACAAAAGCAAAAATAAAGAGTGATTACATCAAGTTAAAGAGCGTCTCTGCAGCAAAAGAAATAGCAGCAAAATGAAAAGACAACCTACAAAATAAAAAAAAAAAAATTGTAAAATCTCAGGCGTAAGAACTCCCTTTAACTCAATACCAAAAAAAAAAAAAAACCCACAATTAAAGATGAGAATAATCACTTAAGCATTTCTCCAAAGATGGAATAAGTATGTTAAACCTCATAAATGGCCATGAAAAATATGAAAAGATGTTCCATATCATTAATTTTGGGTAAAATCACAGTGAGATATCACCTTATGCCTGTAAGTGTAGATATTGTCAAAAACAAACTAAAGAGTTAAATACTGGCAAGAAAGTGGAGAAATTGGAATACTTCGGGGGATATAAAATGGCAAAGCCATTTTAAAAACACAATATGACATTCTTCCACAAATTAAAAATAAAAGTACAACATCACTTTTAAAAAACAGTTTTCCTACATTTTCTTACTGCTGAACATATTTCTTTTGCTATATAGGAACATGTATTTGTTATTTTTCACTACTATTGTTTTTAAGCTTGGAATTCTTTTCCTAAATGATATATCTCAAATACATTTTAAATTTAGATTGCCTTCTCTGTAATCCCAAAGCTTATTAAGGTCTTGACAGATAATCAATATTTTGCAAATGCTGGACTGAATGAAAGTGATGTTCTTTAGTCTCAGTTTGTGTTAACTCCTTTGGTCTCAGTGTGGGTTAAATCAGCTTGTGTATAGCTTGTAGTTATATCCACTGCTCATCCTCAGTTTTTACATCTTTAAAATGTGAATAGTGATGTTTTCCTACAGTTTCTTTTCCTTTACATAAAAAGAAATAGTGAATGAGGAACTGTATTTTGAATTATATTTTTTCTTCTGTTGTATTTCAAAATGCATCCACATATCAATATTTGTGGCTAAATTCAATTGCTAATTTTCTCTTATATTATTATACTTCATTGAAATTCTTAAAACAAACACATATTGTGTTTATGACATGTTAGATATAAGCCTAAGAATTTTATAAATTTTCACAAACTTGATCTGTTTAATTACTCTATGAATTGCTGCTCTTATCTCTGTTTCACAGATGACAAAATTGAGGCATGGGTAAGTTGGCTAGATTCACAGCATGATTCATGTACCTGAATTTAAATCAATTCATGTATTTCTTTTTTTTAAAGATTTATTTATTTGTTTGAAAGTCAGAGTTACACACAGAGAGAGGGAGATGCAGAAAGAGAGAGAGGTATTCCATCTGCTGGTTCACTCCCCAATTGGCTTCAGTGGTCAGAGCTGAGCTGATTGGAAGCCAGGAGCCAAGAGCTACCTCCCGGTCTTCCCACCCATGTGTAGGGGCTCAAGGACTTGGGCCATCTTCTATTGCTTTCCCAGGACATAGCAGAGAGCTGGATTGGAAGTAGAGCAGCCGGGACTCAAACTGGTGCACATATGGGATGCCAGAACTGCAGGCAGTGGTTTTACCCACTATGCCACAGCGCGGCCAATTCATGTATTTCTAAAAGACTCTATGTTGCCTCTTATTTTCTGAGACTATTCAGTAAATGCTTTTATAAAATATTAAAGTACAGGGAAAATTATATATGTATGTATATGTTTATGTGTGTGCATATATATGTATATAAATATATAAACACATAAACATATACACACAAATATCACATCTCAAAAATCTGTGCCCCAAAAATGTTAGGTAGTCAGTGCTGTGGACCACTGGAAACACACAACCATATTTCTCAGCCTCTAACAAATAGGTCTAGTGTCTTAAAAATACAGGCACTACTTTAGAACAACTGAAGTGCCCTAAATATCTGTTTATTTTTTAATCAATTATCAGGTATTGTTGATGCAGTTGTTGGGTGAGCAAACTTAGAGCAGAAATGTCACAAACCCAAGGAAGTATGGTGATGGTGATGACAATTTGGAATGATTCAAGTAACAAGTATGCAGGGGACTTGTTCAGAAGAGACTGACCAGCTCTACATCTTTTTCTTTCTCTCCTAAGGCTCTTATTTCACATGACTTATGTTGCATTACCCTAATCTATTCATTTTTATTTGATATAATGCAGAAAAATTAAGTTCTTATCTATGTTCAAAATAATTTTCACAATTGGCTTGCAGATATCTTGCAGTTAGCATATGAATTACATCTTAGTATTACATAGGACAAAACAAATTTTAATGCTTGTGATAAGTCAATTAACTCTAGAAAGAATGGAAGGAGGTTTGAAATGATTGAATGCTACTTTCACGATAGCAGTGGGAACCAAGAAAAAGGCATGCAGGAGACTCAGAAAGAGTACTGAAAATTCACCCTGAATACTTGTGTATGGGATAGTTAAGGGATCTTACCAAGACTATTTCAGTTTCAGGAGGCATTTAATGATCTAAAGTAAGTGACTTTCTGTTATCAGGCAACTACTTCAGAGGTGGAGGTGGGGCTTCAGGAGTGAAGCTGAATGAGAAGTGGAACACCTGGAAGAGGCCCCACTGGGTAAGAAAACTCCACTGTGGCATCCTTGGAAATGCAGAACCTACAGAATTTCTAACCCCCCAAAGCATACACATGTGACTCATTCCTAGTTTTTATTCTGCAACCTCATTACCTCATTTGTTATAAAATTCAAGCATTGTTTCTCTCATAATTGATATATGCCAGATCAGACAATGCTTGATTTGTTCAATAAGATAACATTACACCAACACTCATTCTTTTTAGCAATGAAGAAAATATTCATTCAATAACTTGTCTGAGTACACCAACCTATTATCATGCCTCTACAGATTCTACACAATTTAAACTCATCACTTTAAATCCTGTCACAGTGTCTAAATTTATTTATCTGAAGACAATGAATATTTAAAGGAAATAATTTCATGAACTTCCAGTGCTCAAATCTTTCCTCTTAAATGCTAAAAGTGGAATTTCTTTGTTCAAATCATCATAAAAAAAATCACTGGGCTGTGGCAAATCTTGGAGGCTGCATGGATGTAAAACTGAGACCCAGAGAGGCAGAGTGACTTGGTAAAGGTCACACTGCTAATTGGCAGCTGTGACATTTAGAATTTAAGTTTTGCTTCAGTGGGTTTCTATTTGAGAAAATGGGTTTTTTCAGGAATCAAACAAATAATCTGACAAGGTAGTGATTTCACTGATGGGGAAAAATGCTTCGGAAGGGAGAATGGGAGAGGTCATGAGAGAAGCTGCAAAGAAAGGAACGAGCAATATTTGTGATGTGCTCATTAGAGGTTATTTACAAGTACTCCTCTGCCCATGAGGGGAGAGCAGAGCATAGCACCCAGATGGACAGATGCCCACTTTGCTCAGCTTTGAATCTCAGACCACCCTCTTATTAATTACGTGATCTTCAAATAGGTTCTTCAACTCTGTGTCTCAGAAACTCCATTTGAAGAGTGCAGGAAGACTATCTCATTAGTGATGGCGCAGTTTAAAGTTCATGCATTTTAGAAGCAGTTCATAGCATATTGTAATTTCCAAGTTGTGTTAACTCTGAACTGTGGGAGGGCCTCCAGGAGGACAGTGTCTTCCTTAACTTCTCATCTGACAGAGAATTAGGAATCACTGACAAGGAAAGCTTGAATGATGACTGCAGAGATTTACTGATAATATATTTGTGTGAAGTGAGGGAAGAAGAGGTAGAGTACATGTTCTGTCTGATAGCAAAGCAATTACATCAGCATGAGTGGAGATAGCAGTATAATCAGGAGATACATGGAGAAATATGCAGAAATCATGTGTAGCTCAAATGAGAGGAAGTCCTCACTTTCTACAGTATAGTATTAAAACTAAGATACCATAGATGTTAGTGATATTACTAATTTATGTTAGAGATAACTGAATTCAGAAAACACTTTTGACAAATATGGATCCTGATAACCAGGGAAGAATTTTATCTATTTCACTCCATGGAAGAACTGGAAGACAACCCATCATGCTTGGTTCCCAATATAACGAACTCAGGTAAGCAAAGCTGACCTTATCAAACTGCAATGAGTAACACTAGTTTATTTTACATGTTACTTCTTGTATTTCTTTGGTATCTCTGCTGTAGCATTACAGTCTGAGTGCCAGTTTTATAGAATATAACAAACCAGACTGTGTTAGAGTTTAGTGACTAGACAAAGTAGAAGAGGCAAAAGTTGACCTCTCTCTTCTCAGAATAACCATCTGGATCTGAGAATTAAATTGACATATAATAGATTAGTAAGGGAAAAGCCAGGACTGGCGTCATGGAACAGAGGGGTAAGCTTCTACCTGTGATGCAGGTATCCCATGTCAGAGCACCAGCTCATGTTCTGGCTGTTCTCCTTCTGATCCAGCTCCCTGCTAAAGCACCTGGGAAAGCAGCAAATGGTGACCAAGTACTTGGACCCTTGCCACATAGAGTTCCCAGCTAACTGGCTTTGGCCTAGCCCAGCACTCGTCATTAGGGCCATTTAGAGAGTAAACCAGAGGATGGAAGGTCTTTCTCTCTCTGTCTCCATCTGTATCTGTCTGATCTGTCTGTCACTCTGCCTTTTTTTTTCTTTTTTTCTTTTTTTTTTTTTTTTCTTATATTTTGACAGGCACATTGGACAGTGAGAGAGAGAGACAGAGAGAAAGGTCTTCCTTTGCCGTTGGTTCACCCTCCAATGGCCGCCACGGCTGGCGTGCTGCAGCCGGCACACCGTGCTGATCCAAAGGCAGGAGCCAGGTACTTCTCCTGGTCTCCCATGGGGTGCAGGGCCCAAGCACCTGGGCCCTCCTCCACTGCACTCCCTGGCCACAGCAGAGAGCTGGCCTGGAAGAGGGGCGACCGGGACAGAATCCGGCGTCCCGACCAGGACTAGAACCTGGTGTGCCGGCGCCACTAGGTGGAGGATTAGCCTATTGAGCCACGGCGCCGGCCTGTCACTCTGCCTTTTAAATAAATTATTTAAAAAAAGAAGAAAAGAAAGACCTACAAACATAATACAAATTTTTATATCACACAAGAGCCCTCCTTGTTAAAATGAAGACCTGAAGAAGTAGCAAAACCTGAATGTTTTCATATTGAACAAAGAAAGGTAATTGTACAAAGCTAAGTTATGTGAGGATGTTTAAACAAAGATAAGAGGGGACTGGCACTGTGGCATAGCAGGTAAAGCCTGCAGTGCCACCTGTGGTGCCAGCATCCCATATGTGTGCCAGTTCAAGTCCCAGCTGCTCCACTTCCGATCCAGCTCTCTGCTATGGCCTGGGAAAGCAGTATAAGATGGCCCAAGTCCTTGGGTCTCTGTACCCATGAGGGAGACCTGGAAGAATCTCCTGGCTTCTGGTCTCAGGTCGACTCAACTCCAGCCGTTGTGGCCATTTGGGGAGTGAACCAGTAGATGGAAGATATCTCTCTCTCTCTCTCTCTCTCTCTCTCTCTCTCTCTGTAAGTCTGCCTTTCAAATAAATAAATAAATCTTTTTTTAAAAAAAGGAAGGTAAGAATTATTTAACAAGGACTGACTTTACAAAATTGTTTCAGATATGATTCCCTCCTGAAGAATATTTCCTGTCTACTTTACAGGGAAGGTCACTTTTACATGGGGAATTTTGCCTGCTATTTTCAAGAAAAAAGAGTAAAATTAGAATACCCTTCTTGCATTTGCAATTTTTACATTCCTTTCAATCACGGTAATGTTTGTGCCAAGAAGCATATTTTGGGGAGGCATATGTTTCCACCTTCAATTAGTTTTCAGAGACCCTGCAATAGCCAAGAGTCCTGGGAGTTGAGCCTTTTGTACTGCACAAAAGTCCAACAAACACGTTATTGGTACAGCCACTGAGGTCCAATGTGAGGCAACCTGTACAGTCCATATCCTAAGGTGGTGCTATGGGAACTTATGTGGAAGTGTCAGACCCAGAAAAAAATTCAGTAATGAACTGTGAATAGACAGCAGGAAGATTTCCCCTTACCAGAATGATACAGTACTATGGAGATATGGGAGAAGTAATCAAAAGAAGAATGCAGTCGTTAGACCAGGCCATGTGCTCATAGTGTAATCAGTTCACAGACTGACATATGCTAATTTCAAAGGCAGCTTTGGGCCTGTTACATTTCTGCTGATGTTCAGAGTAGGAAATGGGAGAAGTTGGTATTGCTCAGTGGTTAAAGCACTGGATGCCCATATCACATATAAGACTACCTATGTTTTAGGCCCAGCTCCACTCTCTATTCCAGCTTTCTGCTAATGTACAGCCTGGGGGGCAGCAAGTAGTTGATTCCCTGCCACCCATGTGAGAGACTTGTATTAAGTTCCAGGCTCTTGGCTTCTCCCTGACTCAGTCCTAGATATTGCAGACAATTGAGGAATGAAACAGAAGATCTGAGATCCCTCTTCATCTCTGCCTTTCAAATAAATAACATATATAAATAGTGTGTTAGAACATTTTAAGAAGAGTACGTTGTTGAAATTGGGTTATGAAGGAACATGCCATGGGGCTGAGAACTCAACAAAATTGACTGATGTGTGTGAGCACACCAGCAGCCTGCATCAAGGTATCCCATCCCTCTGCTTGTGTGGGCATCCTATGAGTTTATAGTCTTGAATGCAAGTTAGGTCAGTATTTCCTAAAATGAAAGGCATGGCATTAGAATGTCTTAGATATTTCCTCAGATCCCAAAGGGATAACACCAAAGGGATAAGCAATTGGGTGTTCCCCCCTCCTCATTTTCCTCATATCTATTTCATGTTCAAGCCTTGATACATGAAGAAAAATAGTACTGTTGAATCATAAAAGTAAAACTGAAAAACAATTATTGAGTATCATGATCTCCCTTTTCCTATTAAATCTTTGCTGTCAAGGATCCTGTTCATTCAACCGTGTTCAAAACCTACTGAAATTTTTATTCTTACTTGAACTCAGATATTCACATAATGTTGTAGCTTTAATCATGTATGTATCCATTATCCATCTATTCATTCTTTCAGCAGATGCTGAGAAGCTATGAAGCATGCAAGAGTCACAATCATTGTACAATGAGGGAAAATAGGGGCTTCTAAATGCAGACATGAAGGAACAAACTCTGCGAGGGGAAAACAAAGGGCACTTGTGCCAATCATTCAAAAAAAGTAACTCATAATTTAGGAGAACATCCTCAGAGACACATTGGTACTAAAAGTAAAATGAATATGTGCCACTGCTTGTTACTTATTACATTGAAACAGGCCCCTCCTGACCTAAAGTGAAGTTTCCAGAACCTTTGGGGCAGGCTATCTGGGAAGCCATCTTGAGGGTGGCTCTCACCACCAGCCCAGCTCCTTTGTCTATGGCAGATAGCTCTGGGAAGCACAATCTCTTGTTTTCCATGCACCAATGAGGTTTATTCTGATTTTTCTTAATCATATGAACTATTCCCTATTGTTACAGAAAGAAAGAAAGAAAGAAAGAAAGAAAGAAAGAAAGAAAGAAAGAAAGAAAGGAAGGAAGGAAGGAAGGAAGGAAGGAAGGAAGGAAGGAAGGAAGGAAGGAAGGAAGGAAGGAAGAAAGAAAGAAAGAAAGAAAGAAAGAAAGAAAGAAAGAAAGAAAGAAAGAAAGAAAGAAAGAAAGAAAGAAAGAAAGAAAGAGAAAGAAAGAGACTATCAGCCGGCTCACTAGGCTAATCCTTTGCCTGTGGCGCTGGCACCCCGGGGTTCTAGTCCTGGTCAGGGTGCTGGATTCTGTCCCGGTTGCTCTCTTCCAGTCCAGCCTTCTGTTGTGGCCCAGAAGGCAGTGGAGGATGGCCCAAGTGCTTGGGCCCTGCACCCTCATGGGAGACCGGGAGGGGGGCGCCTGGCTCCCAGCTTCAGATCGGCGCGGCACGCCGGCCATGGTAGCCATTTGAGGAGTGAACCAATGAAAGACCTTTCTCTCTGTCTCTCTCTCTTTCACTTTCTAAACTCTGCCTGTTAAGAAAAAAATCTGAGAATATCAAACTTTTTTTTTTCAAGATTTATTTATTTATTTATTTGAAAGTTAGAAAGAAAGGAGAGGCAGAGAGAAAGAGAGAGGTTTTCCATCTGCCAATTCACTCCCCAGATGGCCGCCATGGCTGGAGCTGGGCTGATCCAAAGTCAGGAGCCAGGAGCTTCTTCTGGGTCTCCCATGTGAGTGCAAGGGCCCCAAGACTTGGGCCATCTTCTACTGTTTTCCCAGGCCATAGCAGAGAGCTGGATCGGAAGTGGAGCAGCCAGGACTTGAACTAGTGGCCAGATGGGATGCCAGCACTGCAGGCAGGGAGCTTTACCTGCTACACCATAGCACTGGCCTCCAAGAATACCAATCTTTAACCACAGAACAAAGGAATTCTTTTTTATTTATTTATTTATTTTATTTTTTTATTTTTGACAGGCAGAGTGGACAGTGAGAGAGAGAGACAGAGAGAAAGGTCTTCCTTTACCGTTGATTCACCCTCCAATGGCCGCTGCAGCCGGCGCACCACGCTGATCCGAAGCCGGGAGCCAGGTGCTTCTCCTGGTCTCCCATGCGGGTGCAGGGCCCAAGCACTTGGGCCATCCTCCACTGTACTCCCTGGCCACAGCAGAGAGCTGGACTGGAAGAGGGGCAACCGGGACAGATTCCGGCGCCGCGACTGGGACTAGAACCCGGTGTGCTGGCGCCGCAAGGCGGAGGATTAGCCTAGTGAGCAGCAGCACCGGCCAGAACAAAGGAATTCTTGCGATCATATTTGACGTGTTATGTTGATGTTGATGTGGTCACATGCCCAACACTAGAGGTATGTGCCTGATTTTCATGGCATTTCTTTAGGTCCCAGCCTCTGAGGACAGAAAGGTAAGTAAGTATTCATTATTCACAGATGAAGATTTTGTGATATTTTTAATCATTCCAAAAATTGAGTGTTTTTATTAAAAGATTGACTCATGAAGGGATGAATTCGCTTATCGTTATAAAATAAAGACTGAAGAAGCTTTGAAGTAGAAATTTCTGTTAGCAGACGATCTGTTCCCTTTG